GGGAGAGTCCCCGATCGTATATAGTGGTAGAAGATATATAGACTTGTCTGATTGGAGAAATAGTATCAGGAGGATGGGTATCTGTCATTTGGCTGGGAGTTGGAGAACAGGTATAGGCTAGGCGACAGTCTGACTCGACAGAGGATTTGTGCATGGACAGCGGAGAGTCACACATTGGAATGGTAGTAGACTCCATCGAGTTCCTGGGAGAAAATGTTCTGACTTTTTAAGTCTTATATATATATGTCTTTTTCAAATCCCGAATTTTTAATATTTTATGCTGTATTTTTCCATATTCGGTTGCAACATCCCTTTTAAGCTTTTAGGTTCATCAATCATTTCCATCTTTTTGACTAATCTCTTTTCAGATTCACTCCTAACCATCCCGTTCTCATAAACCAATGATCTCGAGTAATGTAAGGAAGTAACTGATAAGCTGCTATGGGTACATCTAGTGCAGTTCCATCCATTTCTTCGAGTCGATATGCTTCTCCTTGAGTATGTTCTTTAACTACGAATGGTCCCCAGTATTGTGATCTTTCTTTTCCTCCGATCTCTTGATCACATCTAGCGTTCCTGACTAGTACATATTCTCCCTTCTTATATTCACTTTTGATCAGCCGTTTTTGGAAATGTCTTTTGAACTGAATTTTTGACTTGAATCGGCTTTTCCTAAGTATTTCTGCTGCTTTCTCGATATCACTTGTATGCTTTTCGATTTGTCTAATCCTTTTAGAGAGGAGTTCTGTAGTTGTCATTCCTGAATAAAATCCTTCGATAAGAAAAGTTGCTTTGAATAAGTCAAAAGGCATTAAGGGTTCGGTAGCATGAAGAAGTTGGTATGGGGAGAACCCTGTCACTTTGCTTATGGTCACTCGATCAGCGAAGACAGCTTCCGGCAGCTTCAAAGGCCAATCTTGAATCTGATTTTCACATGCTTTGATTAGGGATTCCCGAAGTATGAAATGTCCTTGTTCCACTTGTCCATTTGCATGTTTGTTATATGGTGAAATCTGAACTTGTGGTACGCCCATTCTTTTAACTAGATCTTCGAATGCTCCCTTCACTTCTGGTCCATTATCAGTTGTGACTTGATTTGGTACACCGTATCTACAATAGATCTGTTCCCAAAAGAATTTTGATAAGGCTTGCGAAGTAGCCTGCTTAAGTGCTCTCACTTCGCATGTTCCAGATAGATCATCACGGGCAGCTACAATGTATTGATAACCTCGGGCAGGTGGCATGAACATGATGTCGACACTAACTTTCTGGAATAATGTGCTTGGAATAGATATAGTTGGAGACTTTTCCATTCGCTTCAGGCTTCGAAGTTGACATTGATGACAGGATTTGACATGATAATTTATGTCGGCAAGTAAGTGGGGCCAGTATACTCTTCTTCTCAGGGTTTTGTATGTAGCTCGAACTCCTCGGTGGCCTAGTTCATTGTGCGCATGTACTAGAAAATTCCACCTTTGTTGTGGATCTGTGACAACTAATAACGGTATTCCTTTTTCACCCTTTCGAAACATTCGATCTCCTTGGATTATATACTTTTTACACAAATTTAAGAACCGTCTCTTCGATTGAACTGATGTGAAGTATGGAGACTCTAGCATGGTCAGAAATAGTCAGATCTTTTGGAGCATACTTTCTTGAACTGATTGTGATGCGAAGCATGAGGGTAACGTCAGTGGTCCATATGTTGGTATGACTTTTTCATCGGCGGAGTTCTGACGTTCCAATAACTGAGTTAGTA